CCTCCCCGAAAGAGACTCCGCCCTTCGCCGTAGCCTCGTTCGGACTCCTCCCCGCCCGAAGTCAGAGAGTTCAACCGATCAGCCAGTCAACCCGTCGCCCGACTTCAGGCTGAACTCCCTGTTTCCTCTTGAGGCGCAGTATTTATTACGTATGGAATAGTCTATTATGTGATTATGGGTAAGGTCCCATAACAATTAATAAATCATAATTTTCACGCCACCACTTACAATCTAAACATATTCCTGGCGTTAAATAACCTACAAAATGTTGATAAACCGTAAGAAACAAATTAGTCAATCAATATCTGTCTGTTTATATCTATCGCTCCAATTACTCTACTAAGATATATATATATATATATATATATATATATATATATATATATATATATATATAGTTATCTATTAGGTTGTTGCGTTTATCTTTTGCAATTTATTTTAATACTTATTATTTCTTAATAGTTCTGATGAATCATTCAACACTCTGATCCTCTTCATTGTTAACAATCTCTTCCTAATTATCCAATAACTGTTGAATGCCTCGACGATGGAAATCACGAGGTTTTGACCCTAAAAATTTATCAAGCGACGTTTTAAGCTTCACATCGTTTTTGAACGAAACACCCCTCAAATAGAAAACGACCGAAAAAGGGATAGTCTGAAAGGGCTAAATCAGGTGAATATGGTGGATGTGGCAGAAATTGCTTGTTTGGTCATGTTAGCGACGAGGCGAGAATTTTCCTGTTGAATAATCACACTGTATCGCCGGCCGGGTCTTTTCAGTTGAATTGCCTATTTGAGCTTTTGTTCCTTTGCTCATCATACAGCTTAGCATTGACTCTTTGGTTGTTTTGAAGCATTTTATCACGGTACACAGCACAAATGTCTGGAGACGCTTTGACAGAATTGTGAACTTGATTAAAAAATGAGGAGATGTCGAACATGCCCATTCTTGTCTCAATGACATTTTAAGTCAAAGGGATTTCTAATCTGGAATAAAGCTAAAATAACGTTAGACAACAGTTTCACGGGATGTCCAGAGTTATTAAGAAGTAACAAATGCTAGGAAAGATTGTTCATTGAGATCGTTCGCAGAACATCAGAAAATACGAACGAATAATCATTTCTAAGATAAAACATTTTAAAGCTTAGTCTAACTATTGAACAATTCTGCTGTTACATGATCTGGACAATTTTGTTGTTACATCCGGTATATATGTAGCGGTGGACGATTTCGACCTTCTTCGTTTATGTTCCGTGTCCTTTCAGAGTGTAGGCAATCATGGCTCTCCACATCTTCCCGCCCCTTGTACCTCTTAATAAATTTTGCCTTTTTTCTATTTCTCCAAAACCCTGTTCTACCATCCATTTACTTAAGCCCATCAAGTATATTATACACTGCTTTCCTCTGCCCTTCTTGCCCTCAATATGTGTTGTGAGTATCAGATTTTCCAAACCTTGCTTTCTGATTATTTGCCCTCGAAATTTTAACTGCCTCTTCCTGATGTTATCTATAAGTTTCCTTATCAAGAAGCGGCGCAAAATATACTGACTGAATAAATGATGATGATAATTGTCTACTTGACATTCCATCTTAAAGGGGTATATGATCTGAACTAAACTTTCAATAACGTTAGACAACAGTTTTCCAGGATGACCAGAGTCAGTAAGAAGCAAAAAATGCTACGAAAGATTATTCTTCGAGATCATTCGCAGAACACAAGAAAAAAAAGAACGATTATATGTAACAATCAATTTGCATATATCTGTCTATTTAAGCACGTATTTAAGCATAGAAATGACGTGTCATCGTATTTGGGGATTTGGGAGTAAAAGATTTTGAAATCATTGTATCCCTTTTTCCCCCCCCTTTCTCTCCTTAAGAAAGAAAACAGCTTTTAATCATTACAGAAGTAGCATAAATACAACTTAAGTAATATCACAGCCATCGTAATTGTTGTTCTTTCCACGCAAACTTAAACGTTAATCATTCGCCCTTAGACAATTTGACACGACAAAAAATACAATTAAACGACACCCACATGATGAGTGATGCACATGCCTCGCAGAAAATTTGCAACATGGATGGCATTTGTTCATCTCCTAAGTATTTGTTAGACTTCCTCAACTTAGGCATGTGACCATCATTACGTGTCTGTGGACGCGCGTGTGCGTGCGGTTAATAAATAAGATGGATAACGATTGATCTTTGACACAGAGAAGTTGAGGTTGTAGTATTCAAGGAAGCACCCTTGCAGGAGTCTGTTCCACAAAGTCACAAATTCGCAGCTCTTGAGAGAAAAAAACTGCCTGGGTGGAACGTTCTTCTTTCTTCTGAAATATGGGGGAAATGTGAGTTTTTATTTGTGTGCGTACTGGTATCCCTCACTCAACAACAACAACAATAACAATAACAATAATAATAATAATAATAATAATAATAATAATAATAATATGGAAAATGCCCAAAGCGTCTGGATGAACCAGACATCAATGTTCGTCAAACCCATTAATGGCTTAGAGGCATAGAGGGTTTTTAAGTGGAAGACAGAAGGCAGAATCATGGCTGCACAACATCAATGTCTTCCAACTAATGCCTACAAAATGATGGCTCAGATCCCGAGTGTCGCTTATGCCATAAATTTGATGAAACTGTTGACCACATAGTATCAAGGTGCCCAGTCCTTGCTGAGAAAAAATACATTATTAAACATGACAAGCTAGGACAATATATTATTTGGCCTCTCTGTCCAGAATATTGTAGTGAAGTCCCGGACACATGCTACAAACATGGAATGACAATACTATCGCAATCCTCACAGACAGGAAAATTGAAGCAACTAGACCAGACATAATCATAACAAATTTCAAAAAAAGGAAGTTGCCAACTTAGCCCACAAAATTCCAATATTTTTATAAAAAAGAATTTAAAAACAATGTCAAATTATAAGGATCTTCAAATCGAAGTAACAAAAATGATAAAGAATGGTACCAAAAATCATGCGAGTAAAATTCCTCAACACATCAACATCTGAGAGTTACAAAAGATTATTTTGTGCAGAACTACACATATCACCCGCAAAGCCATCTCCACCTAAACCAAACATCCGAAATTTGCATAGAAGAGTCTCTTACAGTGCCATTTTCACTCACAAGCCTCAGACGGGACTTGGTAATTAAGCACTTAAAATTACTCTCTGGCAAGATGAAACCACACATAATAATGATAATAATAATAATAACAATAATGTGTTAGCCCAAAATGCAGATTCTGTGATAAATATCCAGAAACAATTGACCATATTGTAAATCAGGTTGCGCGTTATTGCCACCCACTGAATATAAAACCCGGCATGACAGAGTGGGCCAATATCTGCACTAGAAAATCTGCAACTTTTACGAAAATGAAACAGCAAGAAATTGGTATGAACACCACCCAGACCTCGGTTGCGGAGATAGGACCTGTAATATTTTTATGGGACTTCATAATACACACAGAGAGAACAATCAAAGATAACCATCCAAACATCGTGATTAGAGACCACAAAGAGAAAAAAATTTCTTCCTTATTGACATGGCAGTCCCTGCAGACTGCAGTGTATACAGTGTGAATACAAGGACCCTGAAATCAAACTTTTAAAAATGTGGCGCTTCAGGACATTAACAATTCCAGTTGTAGTCCTCGAATTGACTGAAAAAGATTCCAATAGACTCATTGAAGGGATTCCTGGTAGCCCATGCCTTAAACAAATACAAAAAAAAAATGTTCTCGCGAGTACAGCACACACCTTGCGAAGGGCTTCATCTATGTAAACTATGTGTGATTTTTGTTTTTTAGTTTTTTCAAAATTGCTCACTGGAAAATGTCATGATGCCATTTCTGACCTTGTGTCTCTGGTCGGGACAATTAGTACACACCAAAAATCAAAGGAAATAAAATAATAATAATAATAATAATAATAATAATAATAATAATAATAATAATAGAGAAAGACAAAAAAAATAAATTTGTTAGTAATTAGTGTCAAGCCGGCGTCCAAAAGACGGTCGCATAACATTATGATTAATTGCTATGAATAACTAATCAACTAACGGACAATTTCAAGATGAGCACGATCATCATTCTGTTACTCACATTTCACTTGCTGCTGCGTTTTATTCATTTTGTCACATTGATTACCAGTACGACCGTTTTTCTTATTTTTGTGTCGATATTTTATATTCTTATAACTGTATGCAATTTTTAGAAATAACTTGAAAATAGACATAGTATCGAAATATTGTTGAGCATTGTTAAACACTGTGAATTTTCTTTTTTTTAATCGTGCTCTTCTCAGTTTTTCTAAAAATATTGGAAGAGTTATGCCAATCATTTTGCTTAATAATCATACTAACTAGTTACTTTTAACTTGTGAAAGTTTCACGGTTTTCCTATTTGAATTTTCTGATGTATCTTAATTCTTAAGTTAATGACTGAAAAATCTCTTGGCGAGTTCTACGACAATAAAATAGCCATAGAAATTCCTCTATTGCTTCGTTAAATATTTGAGCTTAACAACTTTAACTAAATATCGTAATAATAATCATAAATATAAATGCTAGTTGTTATTTTAAGAAGTGGGTACAAATGAAAAGATTTGAAAATGACACCTTTTCCATTTCACTGAAACAGCCGTTAACCATTTCTATCTTCTCTTTCTTTCTTTCTTTCTTTCTTTCATCCATTCATTCATTTTTACATTCTTTCCAAGCGATCAAACTTTCTTTCCATTGTTTATGAGGAGACGTTAAACATTCATTCATTTTTATTCTTTCTCGTCAAAACTTTCTTTTTATGAGGAGACGTTAAACACTTCTTTCTTCTCGTCTTTCTTTCTTTCTTTCTTTCTTTCTTTCTTTCTTTCTTTCTTTCATTCATTCATTCATTCATTTTTCTCACTCTTTCCAAAGGATCAAAACGGAATAGGCCATGTTTATGAGGTATTCGTAGGAGATGTTAAATGCTTCTTTCTTTCTTTCTTTCTTTCTTTCTTTCTTTCTTTCTTTCTTTCTTTCTTTCTTTCGTTCTTTCTTTCTTATTTGTCATTGGTCCCTTTAGTAAAGAATGGTTTCATTGTCAAATTGCGTCACTGAAATTCTTCTCGAATTTTCCTCCTGACAAACTGATAAGAGAAGAATGCCGTAAACAAACTAGTTACGATATTGGATTGCATATCGTCCGACTATTTGTTCGAGATAGATTGTCTGGATTCCCTGAGACATATTGCCTGTGTTACAAAATATTAGTTGGCCATAATATCCTATTATAATTGTGCTTGTCCCTCCCTTTATTAGTTCGTACGACATCATGTCCTGACAACATCTCATAAATAATGGACTATTCCGTTTTGATTTCAGAGAGAAAATGAAAGAAAGAAAGAAAGAAAGAAAGGAAGGAAGAAAGAAGGGAATAAAGACGTATTTAACGTCTGTTTTATTGAAATAGAAAAAATCGGCAATTTGAAATCATTTCATTTTTACCCTCTTCTAACGACCGGCATTCATGTTTATGATTGATATTGCAATATTTTGTTAAAGTTGTTAAGCTCAAATATTTGACGATGCGATAGGGCAATTTCTGTGGATATTTTATTGTTGTAGAACTCTCTACTTAATCATTAACTTAAGAATTAAGATGAATCAGAAAATTAAAATAGGAAAACCGTGAAATTTTCATAGTTTAAAACTAGTACTAAACAAATTGCCTACATTTATAGGAAACATTTGAAAAGTTTCTACAGTAGTTCGCTGTATTAAATGTCAAGAAGCTAAAGGCCACCATTTTGAGCATCTCTTGTGATTGTGAGTCCAAAGGTAACTTGTATTAATCGCGTGATATCTGAATAAATTTAGTATTACAATAATATCTTTTTTTTCTTTCCTTAAATGTGTATACATTTTAAGCAGACTCTATGTATATGGTTAGTAATACATACATGCATATATTATGATTACGCCCTTGCAGAACGATAACAGCCACCAAACAGTGAATGAAATTCTCCCCACCAGCTTTGACGAAGCCCGCATAAGTGTTTATAGCCATTTATATTTGGCGCAACAGTATATGAACTCTCAGCATCAGCTATCCTTGATCCATTGACAAGAATCACTCAAGATAATTGGAGACGGTCTGTACCGCGTAAGATTCGAGTAGATTGATGGTAAGACAAAGGTAGAGTCGTTAATGAACTCTGCCATTGCTTACAATACTGGTTGTTCCAACCCAGATCCCCCCTCCCGATCTGCATTAATTTCAGTGATCGAACGGGAATCAGTGCCTTCAACGTGATTTAACCGCAACATTCAAACAAGATGGCGGCCACCTCGTTATCGACTCTGATCATCGCAGTCTATCCTTGCAATACTCGATTCTGACTTAGGATATCAAGCAATACCTGCGCGTGAAATCATTAAAGTGGTACGAGACGTTATATAAGAAATTTAAGCTGCTTGAGCGTGTATCGTCTGCCTTTCAGAGAGGAAGCAGACGCCGCGTTGGGCTCTTGCTTAATTTTCGAATTTCGAAAATATATTTGGTACATTTCGATTTGTGGGAAAACAGCTGCGTTTGTTTTTCATCCAAAACCAATAAAAAAAAGTTTCCTCAAAATTCTGAGAAGTGTATTCGGAGCCTACCTGTTGGTTATTTTGGGAGGGCCTTATAGTTAATTTTCGGAGTCGACGAACAGCTGCTGCAGGAACCCATGTTGCCCCCGATCCAGAAGGAAAAACAACGCAGAAGAAATTTGACAACCATTAGACGTGAATGAAAGGCACATCAAAATCACTACTACTTCAAGTTTTCGGCTGGTGTTATTGTTCTATTCTACGCTGTTACCATGAACTTTGATTCAAAAATTGTACCCTTGAAAAATATTCATTTTCTCCTTTTCTTCATTTCAGGTAGTTTTCTTTTCTGGGAACCTTCTTATACAGCATTATAATTATTATTGTAAAAAGGCATATTTAATTTTCATTGATATTCTCTTCTGTAGAACCACATTTCTTCTTCATCTGTGGGCATTCATTCCATTTTGTCTAACATTCACTGTCATATAGAAGGACCGATATATGTTAACTTATCTTGTCTGTTCATATATATCGCTCTAATCACCTATATCAGTTTGCTGAGATCTATGTCAGTCAGCTCCTACTAATATATCTACTTATTGGCCAAACCACTTTGAAAGACCGGTTCTCGAACGGTCACCGGAGCTAAGCAACATCCCCCCGCCTATGCTAGACGACCGTTGGCCACCTATGAACAGCCTCATCCGCCCTTCGAGAGGTCTTGAGACATGATCGCCCAAGCGTGTCTTACGTATGGCATTTAACTGACGAGAAACAAAGTTAGTTTTTCAAAATTCTTAAAATTTAAAAACTCTCATAAATATTCATCAGGCTAACTGATAAGTCTAGACAAGTTATGGAGGCTGCTAAGCGACGTAATTTAATGTCTTATAAACAAAAAGTGAGTTAATGATATTGTTGAATATATATACTCGTATATATGCATGGACACATAGTCAACTATGTAGAATTCAAATGCTACTGATGAGAAATTGTTTTAAGTTTCTTTCTATTTGATTGAGGAAAGGAAATTCAGCAATGGGTAAAAGTTCGATCCCAGCGTTCGAGGGAAAACGTAATCTCGCAAGGAGGAGTACATTGGAATGATTGACATTCATAGCGGTTCGAAGAAATACAGTAACCTTTTTACGACATCTGAAATATACGAAAGAAATGTCGGGGAGTTAAATTCTTACTAGAATCAGAATCCAATTTTTTTGGCACTTCATTTATACCCCCACTTTATATAAACAACAGTGAACAACTCGAAAAGCCTGGACGATCAACTTCCCATTTGAACTCCGCAAGAACTGTGTAAATGTTTTCGTTAAAGATGACGCAAGTTAAGGAAAGGAACACCGCCTTTTCTGCAATCAGGTCAGAATAACAGAAATAGAACCCGAATGGAAAATCTGTTAAATGAAGGAAGCCATAAAAACTGTCAGCAGAAATAATCTAGATTTTAAGGCTGTTTGGAAAGCAGTGCCCAGAAAAAAATACAGTAAGTAAAATAAAATAAATACACTAATTTTAGCTGTTAAAGTCTCTAGTATCAAGAGCCAACAGTGGGTGGTTAAAAACTTGCACCGTGAATACAATAACGCCTTCTTTTACAGGGGTCTAGAAAAGGGGGATTTTTTTCATAAGAATAGACAAAGCTTTTATAAGATTAGACAAAGATTTTCCAATCTCTTACATTATCACGACTAACGTCTTTTCTGTGACGTGTCCCTTCAGGACATGGACTATCATGACACTCCAAAAATTATTTATCCTTTGTACTCTAAGCAATATTTATCACCCACTTAATAGCCTCCCAGTCCATGTACTGCCATCTATTTACACACCCTGATTAAGTATTTTGCTGTTTTTTTCTGCCCAGCTTGCTTTCGTTATCTCTTGTGGGTGTTAAATTCTCCAAGATTTTTGCTTCGCTATGCATCCTAGAAATTTCAACCGTTTCTTGTTTCTACTACTCATTTAGCTACCATTTTCCTTAAAAATTCCTCGAAGTTCTCATGTTCTGTCAATGGTATTCTCAGCATCCATCTTTAGAACCACATCTCTGTTACCTCAAATCTCATCCTATTTGTAAGGAAATTGTCCAACATTCGCTACAATATAGGAGAATTGATATTGCTTAACAGTTCCAGATATTTTCCACCGGTACAACATGCTGGGATCGCGTCCCATAGACGTTAACATGAAGAAGTCACCTCTCTGACAAGTTGCCCTCAGGTCCCATGGTCAAAGTTCTATAGTTCTAATCATATATATATATATATATATATATATATATATATATATATATATGAAAGAAAATACAGAAAAAAAAAAAATTCTGAATATGCATTATTAATGTTAAAATAAAGTCGACGTCGGACGTTTCGGTCTATTTAAGACCATCTTCATGGACATTTTCATTTAAACATAATTAACATTGTAACTTATAACAATTTAACACAAAAGACGATGGACATAAGAGCCCCCTTAATTCAAACAGATAACTGAAATTTTATACAGATCAGCGATCTGTTTAAATATGATCACGTAGTCGTCACGTGGCCGATGTTGTTAAGACGTATTCGAAGATGATTTCCAAAAATTAAAATATCAAAACGTCGATTGAAAAATTTTTATAAACAGTTAAAGAAATCTCTTCCGTTGATGTTGGAATACGTAGTGATCAATTGGTTCTTATATCTTCAACAAGCTTGAAAGTCCTTCCCGTTACAATGCAAATCCAAAAATGATTTCAAAAACGATGGAACAGTTCTAAAAAACAGTTCGATAAAAATTCCATTCCTTACTTGATCAATAGATTCTATTATTCTCGTCCAAGCTTGAAATCTTCCACGTTATAAAGTAAATTCAGGTTTGTATTTCCAGTAGACAGTATGTAAGCAAATATATGGATATAAATCCGACAGTATGAGAGAAAAATACAGAAAAAACAAAATTCTGAATATGCATTATTAATGTTAAAATAAAGTCGACGTCGGACGTTTCGGTCTATTTAAGACCATCTTCATGGACATTTTCATTTAAACATAATTAACATTATAACTTATAACAATTTAACACAAAAGACGATGGACATAAGAGCCCAACTAATTCAAACAGATAACTGAAATTTTATAAATAAATTTTTATATATATCCGTTCATACTCAGTTGAATTTATTGAGTATGAACGGACTTTGTTAAAAATTAGCAGACATAATGTCTGTAATTTATTCAGACATGACTAAAAGAGAATTTTCTCCTTAAATACACAAATTTTAATATATATATATATATATATATATATATATATATATATATATATATATATATATATTTGAAACAATAAAACATATTTATGCTGCCTATATATATATATATATATATATATAGGCAGCATATCTTCCTTCGAATATGTTTCATTGAATAATATAGCCATATTGTGTCTACTTGTTTTTATACTGATCCTTTCCAGCTGTCTAATTAATTTCTTGATGTTAAGATTAAATTCATCAAGTAAGGCGCCGTAATTTCGACCTAAGCTAAGATCATCTTCAGGGGTAACTTACAAAGACAAAGTTATTGTAACTGCGATAAAATCTGCGTTTCGTTATGATAGCGATTTTTAAAAACACGCGCTGTTATAGTTTTTAGAACTTTACAATTTATCCGTTGGAGCTAATGGAATTTTTTACAAAACTAGCGTTTTAATATAAGGAATCTGATCAGGAATTGTTAGAATGTAAAAAAAAAGTTACATGTTATATGCAGTTTAATATATTGTAGCACTATTCGTAAAAAAATTGTTGAGGGGCCCTCAAGAATTTGAAGTTTTTGTTTATTATTTTCGTGATGTAATATATTGGTGTTGTCGTCAAGTATTTTCCTGTATTGTGAAGGTGAGCAGGAAAGTGTTTTTAGATGTTGTTCAACAGAACTTGTATCCAACAAATGAAGTGTAAGACGTCTTGATAATGCTTTGGTTGTTAAGCCAACATATGACCTTTCCTTGATGAAATTCGTCTTAACATCAAGAAACTGGAAAGGATCAGTATAAAAATAAGTAGATACAATATGTCTATCTTATTCAATGAAATACACGTACGCACATACAAACACATGCACACACATACACATATATATATATATGGGAATAAAGACAAAAGGAAAACTTATCTTAGCCAACGTGTTTCGTTTTCTGTGGGACTTTATGAAGGTTGACAAAAGGAATATATTTATATAGTCTTTTTTTTACAGACATACTCAATCTTAAATTTTTACACACACAAGTACATACACACACACATACACACACACACACACACACACACACACATATATATATATATATATATATATATATATATATATATAAGCTGTTTATAGTTTGTTCATCTAATGATAATATAATTTGGTGGTGGAATTTTTCTTACTATGTTTCGCACTTACAAATATTACTTAATGCAAAACCTTATTTGTTATTGGCAGATATAATTTGATTTGAATTTTACGATTTATCAAACTTTTATGTGTTATTTATAGCCGAAGCCTCTTTTATAGATTGTAAGAATAATTCTTTATTTTTGCGAGTGAATATTTCGTTAAGAATTTTTTTTTTTTTAGAATAACAATGATTTCTCCAGATGCAAGCCCTACTATCTAATACATAGCTAGGTGGAAGGTATAGATTCATACCTTTCCAAGTGGTATTTGCGCGTAAGTGAATGTAATCAACTGGAATTCGAACTAAACTGTCTGATTTCTCATTCCGAGCTGCTCTCATGACACCACCCACACATCTACCGATAAAATTTGGAAAGCCGTTATTAATAATAGTTGGTCTAATGTTAATTAATCCTAAACAGAAAAATTGTTTTAGAATATGACATTTATTTACTTCCCTCTTGGAGTTAAGAAGGCAAGTGTTAAAAACGAAAAGATTTGATCTCATAGTTCGAAGTACAGATTCATATGTCAATCATCATGTAAGCCATTTTTGACGGGTACTATGCTATGTTCTTTTTTTTTAAAGATGACCGATATGATATTTCTTTTGAGCAATATTTCTGATTATTTACTGTTTTAATTGTTATCATTTTTTTTATTTTTTATTTTCGGCTCTAGACAGGCGTTTCCAAGAATAACAAGCAAGACTTGTAGGCGCGAAACAAAAACGAGGTTATCATTATATCATTTTGTCAACTTTATTCATCTTTCTCTCTTTCTTTTTCAGTGTAGCTTTCATTTTTGTCATACTTTATTTTCTTTCATAATTTATTCCATTTTTTCTTTCTTTGATTTTATTGAATCAGTTTTTCTTTCTTAGCTTCTTATTTTTCCATATATATATTATTCCTTTTTTCCCTTTCCGATTTTTCATTCATTATAAAAATATAATTCATGAATAGATTTTTCCATTCTTTATTTCGTTCTTCTTTCAATTATTCACTTCATTATTTTTATTTTTCATTCATTCATTCATTTATTCTTGTTAAAAAATTTTTTTCATTTAGTCCGCCATTTTTATCTTCTTATAATTTATTTTCTTTACTTCATACTTTCAACGTTTCTTTCTCTTTTTTTTTCTCTTTTTTCTTTGACTTTTTTCTTTCTCTTTTTTACATTATTATTTTTCTAGATTCATACTTCACTAATTTTTTCCTATTTCTTTGTTCTTTCCATTTACTCTCTTTCGTTTTCTTTTCTTTTTTTACTTTTTCAATTTTCTTTCATTTTATCCACATGCTTTCTTTCTTCCACTTTCTTCTTTCTTTCTTTCTTTCTTTCTTTCTTTCTTTCTTTCTTTCTTTCTTTCTTTCTTTCTTTTTTTTAATTAGTGTTGTTTTTATCCCTATGCTCTTTTCCTTTCTTTCTTTCTTTTTCTTTCTTTCTTTTCTTTCTTTTCTTTTTCTTTCTTTCTTTCTTTCTTGTTTTAATTAGTGTTCTTTTTATCCCTATGCTCTTTTCCCTTTCTTTCTTTCTTTCTTTTTTTTTTTGTTTTAATTAGTTCTTGTTTTTTATCCCTATGTTCTTTTTTCTTTCTTTCTTTTTTTTTCTTTTCTTTCTTTCTTTTCTTTCTTTCTTTTTTTTTGTTTTAATTAGTGTTGTTTTTATCCCTATGCTCTTTTCCTTTCTTTCTTTCTTTCTTTCTTTCTTTCTTTCTTTCTTTCTTTCTTTCTTTCTGTTTTAATTAGTGTTGTTTTTATCCCTATGCTCTTTTCCCTTTCTTTCTTTCTTTCTTTCTTTCTTTCTTTCTTTCTTTCTTTCTTTCTGTTTTAATTAGTGTTGTTTTTATCCCTATGCTCTTTTCCCTTTCTTTCTTTCTTTCTTTCTTTCTTTCTTTCTTTCTTTCTTTCTTTCTTTCTTTCTTTCTTTCTTTCTGTTTTAATTAGTGTTCTTTTTATCCCTATGCTCTTTTCCCTTTCTTTCTTTCTTTTTTCTTTCTTTCTTTCTTTCTTTCTTTCTTTCTTTCTGTTTTAATTAGTGTTGTTTTTTTATCCCTATGCTCTTTTCCTTTTCTTTCTTTCTTTCTTTCTTTCTTTTCTTTTTGTTTCTTTTGTTTTTTTTTCTGTTTAATTAGTTTTTTTTTTATCCCTCTTTCTTTCTTTCTTTTCTTTTTTTTCTTTTTTTCCCCATGCTTTTTCCCTTTCTTTCTTTCTTTCTTTCTTTTTTTCTTTAGTTCTTTGTTTTTTTCCCTCTTGTTTTTTCCCTTTTCTTTCTTTTTTCCCTTTCTTTTCCTTTCTTTCTTTCTTTCTTTCTTTCTTTCTTTCTTTCTTTCTGTTTTAATTAGTGTTGTTTTTATCCCTATGCTCTTTTCCCTTTCTTTCTTTCTTTCTTTCTTTCTTTCTTTCTTTCTTTCTTTCTTTCTTTCTTTCTTTCTTGTTTTAATTAGTGTTCTTTTTATCCCTATGCTCTTTTCCTTTCTTTCTTTCTTTCTTTCTTTCTTTCTTTCTTTCTTTCTTTCTTTCTTTTTCTTTCTTTCTTTCTTTCTGTTTTAATTAGTGTTCTTTTTATCCCTATGCTCTTTTCCTTTCTTTCTTTCTTTCTTTCTTTCTTTCTTTTTTCTTTCTTTCTTTCTTTCTTTCTTTTTTAATTAGTGTTGTTTTTATCCCTATGCTCTTTTCCCTTTCTTTCTTTCTTTCTTTCTTTCTTTCTTTCTTTCTTTCTTTCTTTCTTTCTTTTAATTTGTTCTTTTTAATTAGTGTTTTTTTTTTCCCTATTTCTTTCTTTTCCCTTTTTTTTTTTTAATTTTCTTTTTTTCCCTTTCTTTTCCTTTCTTTCTTTCTTTCTTTCTTTCTTTCTTTCTTTTTTTTTTAATTAGTGTTCTTTTTTTTATCCCTATGCTCTTTTCCCTTTCTTTCTTTCTTTCTTTCTTTCTTTCTTTCTTTCTTTCTTTTTTAAATCGCTCTTAATTATTTTCACTTATACTTTGATTTTCTACTTTTTCTTCCTTTCCTTCTTTTACATCAGTTTTCCTTAATTATTCTAATAATGCAAAATATGTTTCGCCATTAAATAATCTACAAAACGGTTGGTAAACCCTAAAAAAATAATTCATCCATTTCCCAATTTTTGTTAAAACAATTTTAATTTCCTTCCTTTCTTCTTTTTTTATACTTCGTTTCTTTCTTTCTTTCTTTCTTTCTTTCTGTCATTTTCCTTTCTTTATATTTGTCCCACATCACTAATTCACCTATGCATTAAAAATGGCGGCATAATTTGGTAATTTGTTAAGTCTTACAGTTATAAACAGGTTTGTAAATATATATTTCCTTTTATTATTGTTTTACTCTGGTCTTTCACGGAATCAGTTTTTCTTTCTCGGCTTTGAAAACATCATGTTACAGTCTGACACTGTCATAAAATAGACACTGCGTCATCAAATTACAACAGAGATAAGTTTTATAAAAAAAAATACATTAATAATATGACGTATAATATATTGCATCTTTATTATTTCTACCATTATTGCCTTCAGCCTAACCGGCTCGCTTCTGTTTGGTAAAAAGATAATGTCAGCTGCACTCTTAATTGCGCCACCGATCCTAATATTGATTTGTTTTCTACGGTTTATCAACCCTTTGCAGGTTATTTAAAGCCAGGATATATATTTTTTAACAGTTCTTTTATTGCTAATTAACCTATAGATGTGGGGAGACGAGTTGTATTTCCCAAGGGTATTTCTGCATAAGTGAATATAGCGAACCCAACCAGAATTAGAACTCTGGTCTCCGATTAACATTATCAATACACTATGCACACATCCAAACTTACAACATCTGACATTCTCATCTAAGTACTGACCAGGCTCGACTTTGCTTAAGTTTGACGATCGTACAGGGACTGGTTTTTCAACATGACGTGGTTGTTAGACCTAAGATGCTAATGTCACTCTCCGTGTTGCATTTTGGAACCACGAAGTTCAATTCTGGGAGAACAGGAATGTTTAAAGAAACTGAAAATTGCATTTAGCCAAGGGGGAGAGAAAGAGAGAGAGAGAGAGAGAGAGAGAGACAGACAGACAGACAGACAGACAGACAGATGAAAGCAGGTTAATAGAATGTTCAGTCCATAGTATTCTCAGCACCCTTTTGTAGAAACACATACCTGTTGCTTCAAGTTTCCTCTTCATCTGTGAGGAGATTGTCCAGCATTCACTAGATTATGTTCTATGTCCCAGAAAGTGGAACTAAGTTATTAAGTATTATTGTAGCATAAAATAAAGGTGGTTTTAGTGAGTGTTAAACATATACAAATGTGCTTGAGCAAGCGTCTGCAATAGGGATAGACTAACCGCCCTACCAAACGGGTGTGCTCGAAAACGAGTGACCAGCCATTATTATAACACATGGTCACGGTGGCAAGCATGCACATACATACACATACGCACACGCACACGTACGCACAAAACACACGCGCGCACAAAAACACACACACGCGCGCTCACACAAAAACACGCACACAAATATATCTATATATTTTCCCGAATGGGACAAAAGGTCAGTTTAAAATAGGTTTAACGACAATAACGTGGAAAAATTGCTCAAGCCCCTTCGGCACTTCACTGTTTTGGGACGCCTCAGGGGCCGGGCAATAAATCCAGCCCCCTTCCGAAGTAAAGGTACTGCCTAGGGGAGGTGAGCATCTGCGAATTTATCTAATATTAATTTTAAACTCCCCCAGCCGAAGCTAGGTAAGTATATATATATATATATATATATATATATATATATATATATATATATATAGCATCACATCCACCCACGAATTCCTCCAAATTTTAGAAACTACTAAACCAAACCACGGTATCATAGTGTTACTTGACGTCGAAAACTTATTTACAAACTTCCCCGTCGATCAAACCATCGACATTATCCTCAATTCTGTGTATACTAATAATTCTATCCCTCCACCATCCATCAAATCATTTATACTCTAAAAATTACTAAACGCAAGCACAACCAAAATGACCATAATGGCAACATTTACACCCAAACTAATGGTGTTAGAATGGGAAATCCACTCGGTCCATAATAAACTCATCCACCTGTAAAAAAAGATTAAAAATAATGGAAGCCCCTAACAATAAAAAAGAAAAAGCCAACACTTAACAATATTAACTACGAACACGGCCACAATGTGCTGTGTTCGGAAAATAAAACATCTCTATAACACTAAAAACATACACACAACGCACACACACAATTAAACTGAAAAAAATAAAATCATCCTTGATAATGGCTAAAAGTATAGCCGAAAGCGCTCGGAATTACAGAACATTTGAACAGTTTCTACAGACTGTCTCCCAAAAAAGAAAGCACTTGTGCGAACGCAAGAAAAATTAAATAAAAAGCTTAATCGTAATACCGTATCTGTCGTTTTTAATGAAACATGCATAAATGAAGGATTGCTGCCTAAATACACAATATATATATATATATATATATATATATATATATATATATATATATATATATATATATATATATATATATATATATATATATATATATATATATATATATATCGTGGTTGTTAAAAATACTATCCTATAGCTTATGCTATTGAATATATGTTTGTTTGTTAAGCGGTATATCAACTCTTTATGGGTCATTTAATACCGAAATTTAATTTTCTTGGAGACATTAGTCATTTCTATTACAAAAATTTATTACTGTTAATATTTTTTTGTTTTGCAAAAATAAATATTGCTGGTAATTTTTTTTTTCATTTTTTTTTTTTATAAAAATGCATTGATGGTAATTTTTTTCAGTTTTATTTTGTACAAAAATGCATTGCTGGTAATTTTTACTATGAAAATGTATTACTGCTATTTTTACTATAAAACTATATTTTTATAGTTTCATAGTGTTTTGACCCCAGTTTGGGGGTTAGCTATTTGCCCATACCCGGGACCCTAACAGGTGCTACCACTCCGGGTCAGGGTGAACATGGGAACAACAACAATTAAGAGGTGGTTCCATGCTCTTCAGAACATTTCGATCAGAAGCCTTGCTGCCGGATGTAGTTTATCGTCATACCGAGTTATATATACATTTCTACATATGTGCATATAAGCATATCGAATAATTTTCTAATTCTATTTAGACTATCTCTTATTTTACGGGGCTACAACAGGTGTGCTGTGTTTTCTTAATATATGTTCTTTTGATAGATATAATTAGTTATTTCTGTTAAATTTCGTAGACACATGCTTAGCGTACTTTAAAAAGTTCCATAAATATGTTTTGTATTTTATCTATCTTTTTCGTTAATAAAAATACACGTCTAAAGCAAGAAAGGATTTTTATCTTTAGAAGCGATCTTTCAAAAGCCAGATGTCATAAGCTTCAATTAAGCCAGAACTTATTTGATTTTCTTTCTCACGGAATAAAATGCCAACTTAGATATATTTTAATTGTTTTTGTCCATCATTATCACATCTGGAACGGGCGAGATCCTGACCTTGTATGCTACACGCTTACACCTCTCTCTCTCTCTCTCTCTCTCTCTCTCTCTATATATATATATATATATATATATATATATATATATATATATATATATATAGTCGACTCTCCTCTTGAATTCGACGTATGAGGGTTCAAGCAGATAAGTTTCTAGGAAACTGACAGCCCGACAACAGCACATGAGATTTGATTATAGTGGTGAAAGTTTCGTGCAGGACCATCCACACTTTTTGAAGGGCCGAATACAGAGACCTGGTGCACTAAGTGCTACAAGGCCCCCAAACGACCCTCCGCAGGTTTTGAATTCAGAGTTGTCCTAGACCAGTTGCCATCCAAGGCTATAGAACCCAGTCTGTCCTGCTATTTAACCATAGCTGGATAGTGAAGAAGAGGATTCACACCTTTCCCAAGGGTATTAGCACGTAAGTGAAAGTAATGGATTCGACTGGAATTCGAACTCGACTTTCCGATTCCTCAATCCAAGCAGCTATCCATTACTATATATATATATATATATATATATATATATATATATATATATATATATATATATATATATATATATATATATATATATATATATATTCCGTGTAATATGTTATCAGGAAAATGTGGTATATATGGAACTGGCATAATCAAAAACTGGTAAATAGTAAACCTAATAAAAAATATCCACTTGTTTGAATAACATCTATATCTATAAAAAGATGTTAGTTTCTGTGTGTCTGTCTGTGTATGCTATTTATGCGCGTCCACATTTCTCGATTTAGATGAAACTGCACATACATGTTGCAAATTTACCAAGATAGTTCAAGACCAACTGTTCAATCTCCAGCCCCTACCGTAACCCCCGACGGTGGGTACGACGTTTTGCAAAAAACAAAGCAAAATTACAGGCGAACAAAATTTTTACTGGATAGCACGTTACGAGGATTATGTAGAGTGCTTGAAAGTTTACCTGCGACATTGGCTTCACACAAAAAATTGTGAAAAATTGGGTATTTCGTACTACTTAAAATAAAAACTTAAATAACTTCCTCATTTTTTATTTGTTTTTCTTCAAATATGCAGCAAAAAATTTGCCATCATGTAAAAAGTAAAGTTTTAGTCCTGCTCGTATAACGAAAAGCCACTAAAACCATTCAAAAAGCCCGTTTTTCGACCATAAGTCTCTAGTTTTCATTAGGTGCTTTCCACATTTGCCATGTAAATGACATACAAATTGTCTTGTGTGAATGTCTGGTTTAGATTATTTCAGTGAAGTGGACGTAATCTGCGACGAACGGTCCAAAATCGGCTTTTGCCATTTAACCAATAGTTTCTTCATGTGATTCCTTCCTAAATTGGCATTCGAACAACATTTGATGCAAAGATTGTTTGAGAAAGATTATTGAAGCGTTAAAAGGTAAAAATTCGCAACGAACCTCTTATTAACCCCAGCTTTACAGTAAACGTGCGAAGAAGAAAGTGATATTCATGCGTTTGTACTTGCATTTGAATCAAGCTCTGACGCTTCATCCATGTTTTTGTTTTGATTATTAGATTTGTGAACAACGCCATACTATATATATACAATATATATCTAGTTGTGGACTCGACTACATAGGGAGAACGTCCCAACATTTGGATCTGAGAATAAAACAACACTTACCACCCAGGATTTTAAATCCGGATGCCAGGAAAAGCCAATTAACCAAATACTTCTGGCTCTGTTATTGCTGAGCATGTAATAAATAGCAGGAATTGTGTGTTTGATTTTAGTGGCGACCGTTTTTCGATTATATCTAGGTCCCACTCCTCATATCACCTCAAGGTTCTAGAGTCCTTGTATATCAGATCCCGTCGGCCTTCCCTTTGTAGACAGTGCAAATACTTACTGGGTCTGAATGTTATTAGACTCTAGTTTCTTTAAATTCATTTTTTTCCTTCCATTCGTTATATTAATTTAATTTACAGGCTTATATGTTTTTTATATCCCTGAAAATAAACTTGATAAGGCTGGGACGAAACCGGTTGTCCTTTTTTAGCTTTTTAAAATGCCATATAAATTCTGCCTATTCCTAGCTATCGTTAAATTTTCTACCATAAAAACTTATTTAATATATATATATATATATATATATATATATATATATATATATATATATATATATATATATGAACCTCTAAATAAACTGATCCAACCATACTTATCTAATAGTGTTAGTTCAACTAACAATTTCCTTGACATATTACATTTTAATTAACCTAACAATGATATCCAAGCTTCGTTATATGTTGAAAGTCTTTTTTATTAATATTCCTGTTAAAGAAACCATAGAAATGGTGATACAAAAGTTATATAATCACTCTAATCCCACACCTCCTATTATTAGACCAAGTATTTTATGTAAATTCCTACTGTCTTGCGCCATACAAATACCATTTTAGGATCACTGTAGCAACATTTACACACAGATTGACTGCGTAGCAATGGACTTGCCTCTGGGTCCTACTTTATATAGTTTCTACATGAATGATGTAGAAAAGAAGATCTTTAATAATTTCAACAAACCCTCAATATATCTGAGATATATTGACGACATTTTCATATTAACCGAAAGCAAATATGAATTTTTAATTGTGTTCGCCCCAAACAAGGCAGTAAAGCCGCTAAAACATACGGATTACTTGGTGTGGAAGAATTAGAAAGAGAAACATTGCTAAGGAGAGAGAACAAAAGAAGAACAATCAGGAAGACAGTAGATTGCGATTGATATTGTATTTAAATTTTTGAAGATTAAAGCTGACTAGAAAGCATAGAATCGGCAGGGAGTTCCATAAGGGAGAAGTGTGAAAAAAGAAACAGTTAGCATAGAATTTACGGTTGCATCTAACAAACTCAACTGTAAATTGATGAGATCGCGACGCCAGTCCAGTGCTACGATTAAATTCATAAAGTCTAGGTACAATATCAAAGTGCTCATCCGAAAAATTATCATGAAAGTATTTATAGAAAAGGCACAGGGAGGGAACCTTATTGCAGTGACTGAAGACGAGAAGCCAGATCAGGACTAATAATATTGCTGATTCTTCTTTGTTTTGTTTTTTTTATCAAGGTGCTCTAATTAAATAGCAGATAAACAACATGTAACAGAATGCCGCCTTTGAGTTTTGTACTCAATTCGTTACCAACATCTATCATACACAGGGTGGGGTGGAGGAAATGGGACTTAACCTGCCACGGTGGCCTATTGACTTCAAGTTTCATATAAACCAGTTACCCTACCAAATTATAGAGCACATTTTGCGCAGCTTTTGTTCGCAACCGGGTTGTGTTGAGATGTAGTGTATCCACGCCTTCTCTAAGAAATTTAGTGTGAAATAGACACTAAAGCCATTGTTAAAATTTGGTCTCGACGCACTTTTACCTGCTGACAACTGTTACGCCATACACATATCTAGCTAAGTTTTTTATGATGTATGCACGTGGGCTCGTGGCCGAATGTTAGCGTTCCGACCATGAAACCCAAGTTCGAATTTTACCATGATCGATTTGCCAGTAAGGTAACTTCTTGATTATATCGACAGTTTGGCATAGCTTGCTTCTGGTCGTTATGATGACCTTTCAAATGGTTTGCATAATCTTCCCTCGATAAAAGCATGCACTCATACACACCACAATTCCATGACGTCATATTAGTTGGCAAATCAGAGTGAGTGCCTCATCTGCGCATGCCTGAGACATTCATCCTCAAAGGCCTTGAATCCCTCCCTAATACTCTGTCCGGTTTAATGTCAGTTCTTCTTAGTGCTGCACATCCATGTGCAATGCATTTAGATTATCCTTCAGATTATCTTTAAACCCCTTCCTAGGCTTGTGTTGTAGACGCTTTCCCGTCTTCAATTCCCCATAGAAAAGTTGTTTGAGAATCTTGTTATCCCCCATTCTCACAACGTGGTCTGCCCATCTCATCTGGCTGAGGATTATTATTGTTCCAATACGGTTGCGTTCAGATCTTTGGAGGACAACAGTTTCTGGAATCAAAGGCTGCCATTTGATGTTAAATATGCGTCTCAGGCATTTTTGGTGGAATAGCTCAAGCCATACATACATACATACATACATACATACATACATACATACATACATACATACATACATACATATACTCTCGTAAGTTTGTGTAAGTATATATGTACTAAAAAAACTTAATATCTTTAAGAATGTGTACATAGAGTTAGATTTCGGTATTATGTAAATATCTCATAACGTTTTTCAAATTTATGCACGTTAGTATTTTTTTTTATATCCATGCCAGAATTGGCTACCCAGGGGAATTCAGAGATTTTTTTAAAAATTGGATTCTAAAAGTCGAATTTGTAATAAAAGAGGACGCCATAAACGTATGAACGAGGCGCTAGAAAAGAATTCTCAGTACGTATTTGACATGCTTGACATCTGAGAAATTACGATGTCAGCGAAAAATATGGAGAAAAGAAAGAAAGAAAAAAGAAAAGGAAGGAAAGCATTTAGGAAAAAAAGGAAGAAAATTTACAAAAAAGCAAAAAGAAAGGAAATGAAAAGAAATGGAAAACAGAAAGAAAATTTAAAAAAAAAAACGAAAGAAAGAAAGAAAGAAAGAAAGAAAGAAAGAAAATGAAGAGAAGAGATGGAAATCAAAAAATTAAAACAAAACGAAAGTGGGGGAAATGAAAAGAAAAAAGAAAGAAAATGAAGAGAAGAGATGGAAAATAAAAAAAGTTAAAACGAAAGAGGGGGAAATTAAAAGAAAGAAAGGAAGAAAATGAAGAGAAGAAATGGAAAACAGAATGTACATTAAAGCAAAGCGAAAGAGGGTTAAATGGAAAGAAAGAAAGAAAAAGAAAGAAAGAAAGAAAGAAAGAAAATAAAGAGATCATAAACAAGAAAGAAAGAAAATTAAAAAATTGAAAAGAAAGAAAGAAAATGAAAGAGAGGAAATGGAAAACAGAAAGAAAAATTAAAACAAAACGAAAGAGAGGAAATGGAAAGAAAAAAGAAAGAAAGGGGAACAGAGTATAAGAGAAAAAAGTAGAAAATTTTAAAAGACCTAAAAGAGGAAATAGAAGAAAGAAAGAGCAAAAAAAAAAAAATGAAAGAAAGAAACTATAAGGAAAAACGAAAAGTTATAATATCGACGGATGACAACCGGAAGTTATTACGTTCAAACTATTTAAGAACTGTTTAGATGGGACATAATTTTGGTGTGTAACAGTCATTTAGGGAATGGTAACGGCAATAGTAATATAACCGTTTCTGTATAAAGAAACATTCGGCATTCATTGACCCAGCAGCTGCTAGTAATACTGTCGGTTGAAATATATCAAATCTTTCTATTCAAACCATATTACAGGAAAACAGGTTATCACTCTTTTTAGTGTTGATGGTGATTTCCTTCCTAACCTTTTATTTGAAGTCGTGTGGAAAGTCATTATCATGATTATGTCGCTATTCTCTCTTTGCGCCATATGTGCTATCCATTTTCGTTGTTGCTACAGTTGAAAGTCTTCAAATGATATTGTTTCTGTTATCTGGTACAGTTCTTTGTTTGTAATCCTATATAAGATGGTCCTCGCTTTGACGTACAGGTTTTACACCGTCGACGCCATTTTTAGTCATTGTTCTGGGAAAGTGCTTGTATACAGCTGGCAGTTTCGATATGTGTGAAAGTGTTTGAAGCCAGCCAGAGCATCTTAAGAAAGTTCTTAATCTGACGAGGCTATTTAAGAACATGACTCCAGTTTTTAGGTAAATGTTTTGGTTCTTTAGCAATTTGCGTTGTTGGGTGAAACTACCCCTTGCGTAGTCTTATGGACATAAATGTTTGGATTTCAATCACTTTCGTCCATAAATGACATAACCTCTTATGATTGCCAGCCGTGCATAAATATCTTAACTTGATCCTATGTAGCGTTCGATAGATTTAAGCATACTGGAAAAGACAGGCAGACAGACAGACAGATAGATAGATAGATAGATAGATAGATAGATAGATAGATAGATAGATAGATAGATAGATAGATAGATAGATATGAACAGACTGAGACAGATATATTCAATCATACTGGAATAGACAGACATACAGAAATATATATATATATATATATATATATATATATATATATATATATATATATATATATATATATATATATCGAGATAGACAGATAGATAGATATGAACAGACTGAGATAGATATATTCAATCATAATGGAATGAACAGACAGACAAAAATATATATATATATATATAAATATATATATATATATATATATAAATATATATATATATATATATATATATATATATATATATATATATATATCGAGAGATAGACAGATAGATAGATATGAACAGACTGAGATAGATATATTCAATCATAATGGAAGAGACAGACAGACAGAAATAAATAAATAAATATATATATATATATATATATATATATATATATATATATATATATATATATATATATATATATATATATATTTATTTATTTATTTATTTATACATTTCATTAAATAATATAGACAACATTTTTAGGCATTTAAAACAACATGCCTGCCCCGCACACAATTCCGTAAAATACTTGTCGAAAACACAACTATACTTCGACATGAAAACAATAGACAAAAACTAAAAATACTTGAAGCATTATACATCAAACAGTTAAAACCCAACCTAAACAAAATCAACTATGGAATCTCTACAAATATTCTTAAATGTCTATAATTTCAATAATTGGTAACAGCGGCTTTCCTTATTTCATTCTCCAATTCATTCTTGTGTAGTCATGTGTGACGTCATGAGATGCGGTGCGATTTTCGCTTCTAGCGTCTTATATGCGCGTGTTCATCGTTGCTTAGTGATCCACTATGTAAACAAAACAATGACAGACTATATCATCACTGTCGTGTCCGTATATTGTTTGATATGTTTGTATTTACATCTTTCATAATGGCTTGAGTAAGCCGAAAGCTTAGATTTTATTAAAAATAATGGATAAATATTGTGAATTTCTTTTCGGTTAATGATAATGTTATCAAACTTATCAGAAGATACGAAAAAATTTTACATAAAATAAATAGACAACACTTGTCTATATTATTTAATGAAACGTGTATAAATGAAAATATGCTGCCTAAATACACACAATATATATATATATATATATATATATATATATATATATATATATATATATATGTATATATCGAGAGATAGATAGACAGATAGATAGTAATGCTATATGGCACAAAAAAGACAAAAGCATACAAGCGAAAGTAACCACAAAAGAAAGAAAGAAAATAAACTTAAACGTAAATAATGTTTAAAAAGGGAGTAATTAAAAGAGAAGAAAAAAAAACAGACAGGAAAGGAAAGAAAGAAACTCGAGGTATGCCAAACGGAAGTGGTTATGGCCAAACTATTTAAGAACTGTTTAGTCGAGACATAGTTTTGGTTGGGAACAGTCATTTGGGTTATAGGCCTACATATTTCGTAATGAATTTAAATGGTCACTTCTAAAAGAATACGGACAGAAACATTTAGGACAGACATAGCATAAGGGATAATAAAATGTTTGGTAGAATTAAAATCTATTTTCACTTACAAAAAAAAGCATATAACCACTTCTAGTTCTCAGTCCCTGATTAAGAAAGCAAAAAAGAAATAAAGAAGGAAAATAAGCAAGCAGATTAAGACAGAGAACGAGGGAACAAAGAAAGAAAGAGAAAAATAAAGAAAAGCAGGAAGATGCAGAGAGAGTGAGAGAGAAAGAGAGAGAGAGAGAGGCAAATAGACATAAAGAGAAATTATGGAAATGAATGTGCGGACAGAAAAATATAAATAGATACGAGCGGATAGAAAAAAGGACAGAAAAAGAAAGAAAGAACGGGGAAAAGAAAGAAAGAAAATGAAAGAGAGATGTAAAACGATATAAAAAAAAGGAGCAGAGAAGTATAAAAGCAAGCAGACGACGAAAGGTAGGATATGAAACAAATATAAAGAAATGAAAAGGGGTGTAAGTAGATAGAAAAAAACAACAAAAACTATATGTAATAGGAAAGAAAGAAAGAAAGATGTAGAAAGGGAAAAACGTCAGCAAAATGCAAAATTTAACCCATAAATTAAAACTCAGACAGAGAGGAACGGAAACTTTAGAGAATACAATTCCCAAAGTTTTTTTTTCTCTAGTGATAAGTTCTCAAGCTTGTAATCGTATCTTCCGCAAAATTAAGCATTTACAAATATGTCAGTCTAAATTTCAAAGATACGTTGTTATTTATGTAATATAAAGGCATATGTATATTCTCTGTCTCACTACATATTCGGACCGATATAAATATAAATACACATTTTTTTAATCACACCCCAAGCAAGACAATAAAACCACTAAGACGCATGGGGATTACTGAGCGCTAGAGAATATGAAAAAGAGAAAAAAAAAACACTATTAAGGAGGGTGAACAGAAAAAAGAACAAGAACTAAATAGTTAACTATTGCTATTGCATTTAAATTTTTGAAGATCAAAGTTCACTAGGAAGCAAGAAGACGGAAGAAATTTTCACAAGCGAGAAGTGCAATAGAAGAAATCTTTAGCATAGAACTTACGGTTACATCTAACCATTTCAATTATAAAATGATGAGACCTTGCCGCCAATTTAGTAGTGTACTTCAATTCATAATGTCTACAGGGTGGTCCGAAAGTCTTGTCACTCATTAACAAAACGTAATGAGAACAACAGAAGAACAAGTAATAGAGTTAAGCACATGTACTAGATTCAGTTGATTTATTTTCACTGACGCTGTCACACATCGAGAAGGTCGGTATGAATAGCATCATTTTCGTGGCAACCATCTGAAATAGAAAATTATATTATGTAGAGTTGACAAGACTTTCGGACCACACTGTAGGTACTGAAGAGTAAAGTTCATAAGAACGATTAACATGAACGTATTTCTAGAAAAAGGACAGAGAAGCTGCCTTACGGCGGTGGGAAGGAAAGGGACTGAGGCTGAAATTGCATACATACAAACACACATACGTATATATATATATATATATATATATATATATATATATATATATATATATATATATATATATATATATAATCATCTCGTCCTCAAAGCAAAGCAACAAAGTGACTAACAGGCTGAGTGTTAGAGGATATGAGAAAAAGAAAAAAACATTTTATAGCGAGCAAGAACACTAAAAGAACAGAAATTTAGAAGACAGAAAATAATGATTGACATAGCATTTAAATTTTTGAAGATTAAACTTGACTGGAAAGCAAGAAGCTGGAAGAATGTTCTACAAGTGAGAAAAGAAACTGTTAGCATAGAACTTCCGGTTATATCTAGCCATTTCATCTGTAAAATTGATGAGACATTGCTACCAATCCAGTACTGAGCTTGAATTCATAAAGCCTATGTACCATAGAGAAAACTTCATCAGAATAATTACCATGATAAGTATTCATAGGAAAGGCACAGAAAAGCTGCATTACGACTGTGGAAAAATTATGGCGATACTTTTAATCAGCACCAAAAATTTGTCTTCAAAACGAGGTTATTCTTAGTATTGGCAACGTTGATTTTCATGGTAAGCATCTGATTCAGGTGATTAGTAACCCCAATGTGACCCCGTGTCCTTCCCTTCTGTATATGTGTGTGTGTGTGTGTGTGTGTGTGTGTGTGTGTGTGTGTGTGTGTGTGTTGTAGCATACCTACGGACGATAATGGCTATATCCCCATTCACATAAATGCAGTGGTAAATGCTATATGTTGGTCTGCAGTTAGAGATTCGTCTCCAGCTGTGCTGGTCAAACTCTCTGTCGCCAGGCAAAGAGGATCTATAGACGACGCTATGTCGAAGGGCATAGTCTCGTCTCGGGAAACAGCTGCCCGACCTCGTTTTATACGGAGTCTACGGGGAATTTTTGGCCGAGCCTACGGATACCCCATATTAAATTCGGCCTTGTGTCACATCTGACCGCGTGGGGCGGTTGGTAGATATCCTGCTGTTAGAGATTCATTGTGGAATTCACTTGACTCACTTCTAGCAGTGGACTACTTCTACGCGCCGCTGGCGAATCTTAATTGTGTTGTTCTTGTCCTAAGTATTATCATTTTTTACCAACCTTCGTGCGATTATTCTATTCAGTAATCTTCCATAGGTTACAACAGTATGTATGTATATATCAAAACAGGTTTGATTAAAAAGAACCAAAGTCAGTCTGTTTATTTTTATAGGTACTTTTAAATTTCCCAATATGGTGGTGTGTATTGGGATCAAAATTGTGGTTAATCTTTTCGAAGCTCATCTTATTATTGTTGTTATTATTATTATTATTATTATTTCCGTTTTTCTTCCGTCACACTCATTTTCCGGAACTAATATGGTGTCAACACGGTAGGCAGAATTCCTTTGTCTACATCCTGGTATTCTTTGGAAAGTTGAAAGTTTTGAAATAGTTTACGGTGACGTCATGTGTAACGGTTATTGGGAACAAGATCGGACCAAAAATGTTCAAGTTTGATGGAAGATAAACGAATGTTTCTCTCTCAAGATATTTTTCGATTTATTTATTTATTTCATTTTTTTTTTTTTTTTTTTTTTACTGTTTGTACAATTTTTTGGGTTCCAGAGAGAAATTGAACATAAACTTTCTAGTGTTTTCTAATCGCATTCGACTTTCTTTAGCTAGCAAGCGAATCTAATCACTTTCGCCTTTCTTAAGCCATTATGAAAGATGTGTGTGTATCTGTGCGCGTGTGCGTGAGTTAGCAATGTGTTTATAGGTAAGCACTGTGTTTCTTTTGCGGTTGTCGAGTGTCATGCCTCGGCTCCTCTGTGGGTTTCATGTCAAGGAAATAAAATGGATAACTGTAGACACAACCAACGAACATACGCACAAACACGCATACATAAAGCGCTCACGCACACACACATATAAACACAAACACTATAAGGACAGATCTTACAAGAGAATTCACACGATATATTGTTTATATAAATATAACTTGGCAATTTAACCACCATCATTTGGTTACTCTTATGCGTCTAAAAAAAAGCGGGGGATAATTATCCCTTATTGAAAATTTTCTGTCCCCCGATCCTATTAAGAACACTCCGTTTATTAATTTCACCCCCTTTTCCCTTAGAGATCATACAGGAACCAGTAATTATTACACTTGGTTAAAGTTACATGTCTGAATTTTTGAGATGAAGAGTTATCATTAGCAGGCAGGTTAGGTTTAAGGCTCCAAGTTCTCAATCGCCTAGTGGATTATAGCGTTGGTTTGTGAGTTTTGTGACATAGTAACTGTGAGTTCAACCCCTTGATCGAGCGGGTGTGTACTTGGACTCGGTGGGTGGAAACCGGTTGAGAAATAACTAAGCAGTACTAAAAATAAGAACTAGATAAAAATATTCCTAAACATGGGCAGAGGAACGAGAACACTATACCCCAGTAGATTACATAAAGGTCCGGTTCGTTGTTCTGTGTAGGTTACCCGGATCTATATACACCTGATGAAGGGCGGAGGTCATAACGGCTGAAGCGTTGAAATAACAACAAAGATGAAGCCTGCATGTAAATAGTCTAAATAAATAGATTCACTGTTCTTTCCAGAATAAATACGCCTCATTCTTCGATAAACTTAAAAAAAAGGGTTTTTTAATTAAATTCTTAGTTTGTTTTATTTTCTGAGATGAAGAGTTATCATTAGCAGGCAGGTTAGGCGTCCTCGCTTTTATTAATAGCTCTCGTTTATTGCGTAATGAGAAAATTTCCAATCTCCCTGTTATTAAGACCTTGTATTCCGTATATAGGTGTAATAATACTATAATGGTAAGTTCCTTGTACAGCTCCATTAAGTACCTAACTCTTCCTGCTATCCCCAAACTTTACAAAAACCTGATCAGGTCAAAAATATGTCGTGTCCCATCAGGACATAGCCGATCATGGCTCTTCACTTCCCCCTATCCCTTGTAGCTCTCAATAAGTTTTGTCCCTTTCCTACTTCCCCTGGGTCATGTTCCGTCATCCACTTGCTTATGCCCGTTAGGTATGTCATGCGTTGCTTTCCCTTGTCTCTCTTTCCCTCTATTTGCCCTGTGAGTATCAGATTCTCTAAGCCCTCCTTTCTCATTACGTGTACCAAAAATTTCAGCTTCCTCTTCCTGATGTTAAGTATAAGCTTTCTCCTTGTTTGAATCCCCTCCAAACTTACATGTTCTGACCATGATATCCTTAGCATCCTTCTGTAGAACCATACCTCCGTTACCTCGAGTATTTCCATGAGCAGGATCTGCTCAGTCTTCATTTTCTAGTCTCAATATAGTCCAAAAGCGTCTCCGCGTCCTTGTGGGTGACAAATTATTTTCCACCCGCCAATCCCTTTCTCCCAGACGAAACGTCAGAAGCCTCTCACTGTTCTATCGCTATTTCCATGGAAAATGCTCAAACGTCCAACATTCCTTAGTTCTAAGGTTCATGGATAAAACTCGCCATGCTACGCACATTGTAGCGAAACACCCTCGTTTCCTTCGTATCCCATTCGTGATATGCAAGTTCCACTCGAGCAGTTTCTTCCCACGAACTACTGCTTTGTGAAACCGGCTCCTCCAAGCGGATGGTTCCCCGATCACTACAATCTTAATCTGTTAAAATCTAGAATTAACCGTTATCTTCTCCGCATATGCGCATAAACTATCCCTCTTACTCTATAACCCTCTACCTCGAGTAACTCCCCGGCCTTGTACAGGCGTCCTGTGTATGACATCCGGCAGAAAGGCCTCTGATTGGAAAGTTTTGAGGAGTGTGGAACCACCTCTTAATTGCTGTTGTTCTCGGATCCACCCTGACCCAGGGTGGTAGCACCTGTTAATGTACCAGCTATGGGCCCTTAAACTGGGGTCAAAATAAGAAATTTTAAAATTACATTAGAAAAAAGTTACCAGTAATATATTTTTCAAAGTAAAAAAAATGAAACATTACCAGCAATACATTAAAAAAAAAATTAGCAAAGCTCATAAGAAAATAAAATTTCAGCACTAAATGACCCATAAAGATTTGATATGCTTTTAAACAAGCCAAACCAAAGCCTTGTACGGGTTAACATCATTTTAAAATGTATATATACGAGGTCTGTTTGAAAGGTAATGGAGCTGGTGTCACAAACAATTTATTTCAATTCTAAATAACAAACTACATGGTTTTCATGAGTCTAATGCACTTCTCCATCCTTTCCTCTCACGCTTCTATACTTTTCTTGGATGCCCCTCAGTTCCATAGTTACGGCCCTCTTAATGGCCTCCACATCTTCATATCGGGTCCTCTTGACGATCCGCTTAAATTTGGGGAAAAGAAAAATGTCACACGGTTCAAGACCAGGTGAATAGGGAGGTTGTTTCAGTATTGCAAAGTTTTTGTCGACCAGCAATTGTCGGATGCTCAGGGCGTTCTGGGTAGGTGCATTGTCATGGTGAAGCACCCACGATTTGTACTGCCAAAAAAGCATGTAAAAAAGTGCAATGGTTGCAGAAAGCTAAGATTACAGTTATGTACACCCAAGATGACACAGTCTGCTTAACTCTTTTTCGGTCACAGCACATCCAGTCCCATTACTTTTCCGCACATCCAGTCCCATTACTTTTCAGACACACCTCGTATATATTTATTGTAAAGACATTAATAAAAGGTAGCCTCCTCATGTGCCTTTTTGGAATTAAAAGTAGGAAACCCGATTTGCTGTATGCTATGCAATTGAAATTGGAGCAAGTTGCAATTCCTATGTAATATTTTGAGTGTGTAAATATGTGTATATCTATACTGCGTGTGGATATATCAGTATATGCAATGAAGTGCCTTGCTGTACGCATGAAAAATGATCATAGAGAACTATTTTTTTTCGCTTACAAAACTATTTTATTTTATAAAATTCTACTCATGTTCTCTTTTTCTTTTCTAGCTCTCCTTGTCTCACATCTCACGTTTTCTTTCCATCATCCTCTCCCTTACTCTCTTTCTTCTTCCTTCCTTTCTTCCTTCCTTTCTTCATCCCTCCCTTCCTTTTATTACATTTTAGCTGACATCGCACTTTATAATTTTTGAGCACAGCGCGAGATTTAGGCGCACGTGGACTGATTTGTCCTCCTGAGCAAGTCACCCAGTCCTAAATTTCCTTGTCTCCAACATCTTTTTCTTTTCTTTTTTTTTTTTTTTTTTTTCAATTTTTTTTCTTTCTTATTCTGCATCCTCATATACTTTGGAAGCCGTTCGCCACCCACCATATACCTATTCAACCCGACTCTAGTTCTTAGACTACCCTCTCCTCTTCCAACTCACCTTGGCCACCCTCACAAACATCGCCACCGCTGGCGGCAACACCCGTTATATTACCCTTAACTCAGCAGCCCCTCTCTCGCCATCACGACGGCCTGGTACCATTTACCATTAACCAGAAGTCGCAATATTTATCGTCCTTCCTCCTCCGCAGCGTCTGTCGCAGTAGGAAGATCAGTAGATACGATGGCGGTGGACGTAATGGCAGTATGAGTAAAATGGCGAGCAAGTGTTTGTTTAAGAACTGATGGATTCAAGTGGTGGGCGAAGGAGTAAGATTCATTTTGTGCACCTGATATAGATATATATATATATATATATATATATATATATATATATATATATATATATATATATATATATATATATAGCAGTTGATTAATGATGGTGTTGTCTAGAAGGTTAAATTGCAGCAATGGGGTGGGAATCTGTTGAAGTTGAAGAAATTAAGGAATTTGGAGGCAGGGAAGTGTTTTTATCCATTTATTCTTAAAATAAAGTTGACTTGACCACTTGGAACGCTTTGTATTTTTTAACTCTCTGTTAACTTTTTCTTCTTTTTTTTCTTTTAGCCATTCCTTTTGTTTCCTTCATCCGGGTTTTTTATTGTCACCCTTTTTTTTCGTTTCTTTTCATCCACGTCACTTTTCATTTTATTTCAAGTTTTTGTTTCTTTTTCGTTTTTCATTTCATTCATTCCTATGTAATTTTTTATTTACCCTTAAATATTTTCGGTTATTTCTCCCTTTCACACATTTCTTTCTTTCTTTCTTTCTTTCTTTTTGCAATTTTTTTCTTTACCCAATTTTTTTTATTATTTTCGATTATTTCTCCATTCCACTCTTTCTTTCTTTCTTTCTTTCTTTATTTATTTATTTATTTATTTCTCTCTTTCTTTATTTCTATCATTTTCTTTCTTTCTTTCTTTCTTTCTTTCTTTCTTTCTTTCTTTCTTTCTCCTGTAAGTTTCTTCTTCTCTTGGGTGATTTTTTTTGTTTGCACCATTTTATTATTTCCCCCTTTTTTTCTGCTTTTTGCTTTTGCTATGAAGTGTAATTTCATTCGTATTTTATCAGTCCAGCGTTCATCTTGCATACCGAGAGCTACTCTAACCTTACTGCTTCGACATTTATCTAGTCTATACCTTAACTATTCTAATTAGGTAGTCATTTATACAGGGTGTATCTAAAATACTTTTATAAACATTAGGGTCGTGTTCCTGAAACGAAAACAACGTAAAATGTCCATATAAAAAATGTCCAAAAGGGCATGTGGAATGTGTTCTTCGAGGCCAGGCGTACGAGCGGATCTCTGTCTTCTTCGATCCATAGTTTGTAGTACCATGGATCCTGTCTCAGTAACGTTACGATAAACAGCAGTAAAGGTTTGATGATTTGACTGCCTTGGGTCTGGAAATGCAATCTTATACAGTTGTGAAGCCTCGCGTCGATTACCATTCGCACAGCAGTATATAAAAATCATATCTCACGATATGAATATCCTGACAATGTTAAACGGAACACTTCTCTGTTAACTCATTACTACACACGTTAAACGTTGAAGACAGCCTAGCCACAAATGTACACGAATAACAAACGTAATCTAGTCTACATGGCAGCACAGCGCCAATTATCGTAAACTTTCTTGAATCTTAATAACTCAAAAACGAAGAATTTGCGGCCATGTTTATATGGATTTTTGTCCTTGTTTCGATGAATAATGAATTTTTACAAGAATCCTTGTCACTTTTTAAAATTTTAATTATAATAATTTATAAAATTTTAAATCTTTTAAAATTGTTTATTAATTTGTAGTAGTGGTAATTATAGTGAATTTAAAGCTAAAGTACTTAAAATTCAATACATTATTAAATTACTTATAATATTTTATTAAATATTTATGATTAGGGAATAGTTAAAAAATTACATAAAAAGCGCTCACGTTAAATTCGTCAAGTAATTTTTACAGATATATCCCTCGTAGAAAAAATTCTCAAACGTAAGTCTATCGAGATAGTTGTCAAAACTTTGTAAAAACACCCACCGTCATGTTCAAACCGGCTCTAATCTTCCCGGAATAAAGTTTCAGTAATGTATATTTTATTTTTGAAAGGTTTTTAATAAAGGGATTTACATTGTGATGACAAATTTGTAAATATGGCTAAAATCAACGACTTTTACCGATTAAAAAAAGCATTCTTATTTGTTTAAATTCGTTTTGAAACATACTAATAAAAAATAAAAGCATAACCCCATCCACATGTAAAAACAAATGGTTAAAATATAATGGAAGCCCTAATAATAAAAAAGAAAAAAGACAACATTAAAGAACCTTAACTATTAACAGAGCCACTATGTGATAACTGTTTTTGAAAAATAAAACACCTCCATAACTGTAGATACGTACATGACACAATCCATACATTCAGTTAAAAGTAAAAATAAAATCATCCTTGATAATGGCTAAACATATAGCCGAAAGCGCTCGGAAATGCAGAACTTTTGGACAGTTTTTACATATTTTGTCTCCAGAAATGAAAACACTTGTACGAACACAAGAAAAATTAAATAAAAGCATAATCACAATACGTTGTCAGTTGTCTTTAACGAAATATATACATACATACATACATACATATATATATATATATATATATATATATATATATATATATATATATATATATATATCCCTAACGATCCGCTTAGGTTAAAACATTGGTAGGTTTGTCTGGCTCTCTAGGTTTAACTATATATATATATATATATATATATATATATATATATATATATATATATATATATATATATATATATATATATATATATATATATGTATGTATATAAAACATTTTATTCGTCGTTCAAACTTAATAACCGCCATAAATAGACAAATTTTATTTGTATTTTAATACGAACACACATGATTATAATTAAAAGAAAATAACGAAGAACGAGTTAGCTAAATAGTTTCGAACTACACCCATAGGAGCTAAATAGAGGTTAATATATATGTATATATTATCAATAAAAGGAATGAAATCTAAGTGAAAAATATTAGGTGGAAATTAATTAGAGGCCAAAGGCAAAAGCCTTCAATAGACTCAATAAGAGGCACGCAGGTGGAAAGGCTAGAAATGTCAAAGAAACACATAAATTTGTTAGTCGACGAGTAATTCTGGATAAAGTAAGTGAATTCAAAAGAATCTTTGGTGGGCAAATCTTTACGTTTACTGGATTGTATACCCATTGGGACTCTTTTTGTCCCATTAAGCGTAAAATAAATTTAATTAAGACTCGTGCCCATAGGACCTTAAAGATCTGTTCTGAGACGAAACTGGATGATGGGATAAGGTTTATTACTAGTACTCTCTGCAACAATGCCTATCCTTTAGACATTGTTCAATCAGTAATTAAACAAAATTATTTCGGAATTTAATAAAGACAAACCTGCTTCAGTACAGAAATGTCCGTTGTACCTACGTATTTATTGACTAGGTAGTATTAATGAAAGATTTGCTAAACGGGTTTCCATAGCAGTTCGACAATGTTACTTTAAAGCTGCTAATACACGTGTGGTTTTCTCTGCTAAACCAATCCATGCGCTAAAACGTTCTCCCACCTCACCATAATAGTTCTCTGATTTATTTATTTAAATGTAGTTGCAGTATGCTCTACATAGGAAGAACGACTCAAAAGGTGGATGCTAGGATAAAACAATACGTCCCTACAAAAATACAGAACTCTACTTATTCACCATCTGATGTTCTGACCAATACATAGGGGTCTTCCCCAGCGGAACACATAAATAACCGCAATTGTGCGGCTAATTTCAGTGTGGACAAATTTTCCATCTTGAGTAGGTCCCACTGAAATTACCACCTTAAGATATTGGCGGCCATATATATATTATCATTGAAGGATTTTGTCCTTGGCCTCCAATTGATTTCCATCTAATATTTTTTTCCTTAGATTTCATTCCTTTTATTGAAAATATATACATATTTATTAACCTCGATTTATCTCTGTTGAGCGAAGCTCGAAACCGGTTAGCTAGCTCGTTCTACATTTCATCTTTAAATTATAATCATGTGTGGTATGGAAAAATATATTTTCTCGGGGAATAAATTATAATCATGGAACCTTAAGGTTGTCTCTTTCTTAATTTTTAATTAATATTTGCTCTGGTGTTACATTGAGTTTTCTGGATTACATCCTTTTGGAATTATCCACATGGATTACCAAATTCTTCATTACCTTACTACACACACACACACACACACACACACATATATATATATATATATATATATATATATATATATATATATATATATATATATATATATATATATATATATATATATATAGTGTCTGTGTGAATTTGCCTGCTTACCCTTACTCACTGGTTTATCTTCTCTTCTTTACTGTAATGATTCAGTGGGCGATTAATTTCACTGATGGTTTGGTTCGTTCTTAAAATGACGTACTTTAATGAAAATAACTTTGAAGGCAAACAGCCACCATTTCTTTCTTCCATCACTTTTTTCTCTCTGTCTTTCTCGTCCTACGTGACTCGTAAATGTTTTCTGCACTTTCCCTTTGACCAAATTTTGACAATATTGTCACTGTTATTTTTCTTTCAATCCACTTGACAACTGCAAAGGAGAATTTTATTTTTTTTATCAATGAAAATCAAGATAGCAGCACCAAAAACCGAAAAAGAACAAAATAGAACAAATTATTTGAGAGATTCTTGAACAGGAGTATATAAGAGGGGTTTAAAATATTCTCTGACCAAACCGCTTCCTAAAAGCATAAAAAAATTCATGTCTGGTCATTAAAATGCTCTGATTTTAGGATGCTTTTCAACACGCTCTTGCATATGACATTTCATTTCATAACATTAAATACCTCCAAAATATAAAAATTAAAAAAACAAAAAAGCGATACCAAAGGTTTGAAATTCATTTTAAAAATAAAAAAAAAGTGTCTTTCTTGAAGATTTATTTTACTTTTAATTCCATGCTAATAGATTAAATTTAAAACGTCTAATAAGCAAAATACATTGCTGTATTTCAAACCGAATTTAAATTGATTTGAAGTATTTGCTTTAAATCGCTAAAATCAACCACATTGACAAATGCGTCAATACAACATAAATTTCTTTATTAAACAATCTTTAAAAAATAAAATATATCATTCTGAAACTTTATTCGATGAAGATTAACTGATTTAAAGTTTAATTCATCTGAATTAAAATAAATATTAATTTTAGTTTAAAATATCGCAAAAAAGCATTTTTAAAACTCGAATGAGGGTGTCTTTATGAAGTTTCCACAGATTTATTGATTGCTTAATTTTTGACATTTTAAAGTAAAGTGAACATAACTGTAAAAATTACTTGATGAATAAAACATGAACGTGTATTTTATATAATTTTGTAACTCTCCATTAATCTTTAACAAATATGAAAATATTCAAAGTAATCTAATATGTTAGTGAATTTTAGATACTTTGGTTTTATAGTCTTACTTACCGAGGAAATGTTAGGAAATTACCAATAAATTTTCAATTTACTATAGTTACCTCTTTTATTTTATGATAATGTCGTGTATGGACGTCCGTATTTACAAACATCGACGTTTACACACGCACGCATGCACGCACGCATGCGCGCACGCATGCACGCACGCATGCACGCACGCATGCACGCACGCACACGCGTGTGCGCGCGCACACAAAGGAATTAAACATTCCTTTTAAAATACTGGGAGTCGATGAATAGTAGTAGTCTTTTCCATTAATGATTAGTAAACATAGTTTTGACTTAATAACAATATCGCCTAACCGCTACAAATTAATATAGAATTTTAAAAGATAAATTATAAATTATTATAATTGAAATTAAAAATAATGAAAAACAGTTCTTATAAAACTTCATTATTCACCGAAATTTTTTTTCTTAAGAGAATAGTGTCCATAATATATCTTATTTATAAAAGCAATTAAAAGATTTTCTAATTGAATAATATCGTAGTTTTATTTTACGATAGA